ATGTAAGCTAGATCATTGTTAAGCATACACACATCATCTTACTCTTGAGAAGAAAGTCAAACTATTCCTTTATTAATGCTGCTGACCTCTTTAAAGGTGCTCTGTGGAGTTTTCTTGTCAACAAACAAACGTTATGTTTACATTCAGTGTTGCTCACCAAGATGCGTGTTTGTAAAGCCAAATGCAGCATTGTTGACGTCGTGTTTACTTGCTGTAAAACCATTAGCAGGACAGTGTTTTGCGCCAATGTGACTCCAATAACAAAAGCTCCATACTGAAAGTCAAAAACTACACATCTAGAACTTGCATTTCAATATCATCAGAATCAGAAATACTTTAATAATACCTATTTTTGTGCATGTTTTTCTGTTGTATATAGTATGTTGTCTCAATACATGGAGAACAGGTTGACATATATTACACATAGTAAACACTTGATCTGATGATAACAGATTTAGTGTCAGAAAGTCAGCTAATTACTGAAACTGCTGGAATGAGTTTCTTTTTCTATATACACTAGCTTTTTAGGTAAAGCCTAAGCACTCATTCACACTGTAAATTAGGGTCCTTTCCAGTACAGTTTACTGTTTTGCTGTTTTATTTTGCTCAGTACATCTCTTTAGTAATAATGGGTTTATGTTAGAAAACAAATACCTAATATATTGTTACAAAACTCAAATATCCACTGCCGGCTGGTCTCGATTGAACACCTGCTTGTAACTCTGAACCCACACGTACAAAGCCGACACGTAACATCTGACTGTGTCTGTGTCTTTGATGTGCCTGACTGTTTGTCTCCCTGCAGGACTCGATATTGTTCATAGAGCAGCACAAGTCTGGTTTTGAGCGGCCTGCAGATGTGGAGTTTGAGGACTACACCCAAGGAATCAAACCAGCAACCTCTGACTCCAGCCTCAACCCACCCAAAGTGCGTGCTAAGCTCTGGCCTTTCAGCAAGAAGCACAAGGTAAATTTGCACACATTAGATGTTCTTCTCTTTGAGTTTGCATAAGTGAATATTTTGTCTCAAGGACACTGCCCCTCCCCTCTCTGCCTGCTCCTCTGCTTCTGCATTTGACAACCTGAAAATCTTCTCTGCCCTGCACCTAATCCGGCTAACAAGTTAATATCAGGCTAAAATGATCATTTCTAATCCATATATCCTGGTTGTTTAGACGCAGGTTGATTTGGTAGTCTTTCTTGAAACATTGTGTGCTCTTATTTTGAAATAAAGATCTCTCAAATTTAATTCACTCTAAAAACACAGATAAAATTGTTTAATGTTCACAAATCTGATTTAAATAATTACATATAACTTATTAACTCACTCCAGTTTACATTTGATTGCATGATGCACGTTCATTAAATACATATTAGTGTTTAAATCAGCATTTTTAATAAGATGCAAGATGTAACTGATAATAGGGCAAGACCTGTATCTTGGTCACACACTGATGAAGAGGTAATGTCGAAACGTCATAGTTTATAGTTGATAAATCTTTTTTTTACTCTATTGAGTCTGCAGGTGGCTTTATGCTTGATATTGTTATATAATATTGGGATGTGGTACCACCACCAATACTGCTTTGTTTTTGGTGTATATTATATACTTTATAGTTATAGGAAGCTGTAAATGTAAGTGTTAAATGGTGATAATTACACCGGCAGATTATGATTGTTTCTTAAAAGGTATATTATTATTATTATTGTATATTTTTCTTATTGTCAGCCAATTCCATGAAAAGACCAAAACCAACAAAGCATTATTTCAATCTCAGTGCTTTCAGACATTTAATCTCTAGAGTGAAGTTAATTTTTAAAAACACGGTAATTTCTAAACAGCAACAGCTGCAGTTTGTAGCAAACGTTCCTCAAACAGCAGTAAATAATGCATCTGTTATGGACTATTTTCAGTCAGGGATTGGTATACATTTGGCATGCAAGGGATTTTTTTATGGCACTGATGAACTACAATGCCCATGTGGATTGCGAGAAAGAAACATGTTACCCAGTGCAACAGTGTGGCTAACTGATGTGTTTTTAATCGTTTCTGGACAAACAATGGAAGTGTGTGGCTCAGAGGAATAAGGTGTATCAGGCTTTGTTAGTAGGATTTGTTGACATAAGAACATAAATATGACCAGACTTTTAATAACTGTTTTAATTTCAGTTAATAATTGCATCAACATTTACAGTACACTAATAGGTGTCATGTTACAGCTAACTGGACAAACCTGTATTTTGCAGGGTTGACAACAATGTAGATACTTTTGAACACAGCTTTAAAGAATTTCATCAGTCAAATGTATAGAATGAGCACAAACCAGCTACCTGCTTATCTTGGTCCTGCTGATCGCTGAAGAAGTGTAAAATCACACAATCTCATAACAATGCTTTAAAGCGCACACACGCACACAGACACACACATGAAACTCAGCACACATTCCACTCATGTCTTACCCCGCCACCCTGTTGCCCTCAGGGGCCAATTCTAATTCCAGTCTGCTGCACAGACTTGCCCCAAAACACCCCTTGTTCTCTCTTTAACTCTCTATCCACTTTACTACAGAAATACTCTTTTTGACTTCCTCTTCTTCTAATTTTCTCTTCTAATAATCTCCTTCCTTTGCTTCTCTTCCTCTGCTCCTTGTTCCTCCTACCTTGTCTTTTTTCTTATTTCGCCCTCTCTTCAGTTCGTCCCTCCGTCTTTCTCTCCCCCATCCCCTTTCCTGCCGGGCAGCAACCCCCTTTCCCTCCCCCTTTCCAAGCTGCAGCACTCCCCCCTCTCTCTTTGTCTGAGAGAGTTTAATCGCTCTGTCAAACCCAGGATTTCCACCTTAAAGATATTACAGAAACAGCACTCGGTGAGTGACGACATCTGCTCAGGTCCCCCCCCCCATGTATATGTCTCATTGATGCTGTTCATTTAAATAAGCTGTTACACCTTGACGTTCATACTCTGTCACTGTGCTTTAGTAAAAACAGTTAAAAAAGAGAAGTTGAGATAACTCTTAATTTCAAGGCAGATGTCTTCACAAAATATGGAGTCTTTAGTCAAAACTAAAAAGTTTTTTAATAAGCTAAAACACGATTAGCCAATCTTAAATCTTCTTTTGAGATAATTTACTTTTCTTCTTTAGAAAAACTTAAATCTTTTGAGGTTTAGAAACAAAAAATCTCATTTTCAAAAACTTCAGTGAGCTGTGAACACGATTTTTCATTATTTGGATGCTCGAAAATTAAATGGTTTCAATTAAAAATATTAAATAATTTTTTCACTTTAATAAGTTTATTTCCAAAACTTAACAGTTTGACTTAAAACTCCAATGTTTGATGGAGACATTTGCCTTGAGACTAAGTGTACCATGCTTACCAAGTGTGTTTTCCATGAGGTGTGTTTGTTGTATACCTATCTCATACTGAATGTCCCTTTCTCTGTGTCCAGATATCACATGCTGAAAAGCACACGGTAACACTTATTATGGTTACATAGAGGGTAGACGTAAAAGGTGCTTAAATAACAGTATTCTGGTGCTGGATTATTTTTAAATACTATTAAATGAGTAACTCTACTCTGAATCATGCTGCACTGACACCTATGGGGAACATGGTGGGAATAAAGGCCCGGTCACACCAGGAAGTGGAACTTCAAGTGGAAGTTCATTCATACATCTTTGAGAAAGTGCTACTCGGTGCCTAAATTGGAATCAGAACCCCTAAGTCAGCACAACCCTAACCACAACATAACCCTAATCCTAAATCTTTTTGCATTTTTTAATCCATTCTAAGAAGGACATTGTCTGCACTGTTTTCTCAGCATTACTGTAGCTATGAGTTACACTGGCGAACTGGATACAGCGTTGTAGGTTGCACTCTGTTCCTTCCTGAAAGCTGCTCAGTGGCACATAAAGCCAAAAAAGCCACTTCCCACTGTAAAGAAATTACCCAGATGAGCCAGATTTTTGGGCCAGTATGCATCACGTGAGGGATGCCATGGCTGTAATTACACGGTTCGGCCACTATGTCAAATTGGCTTCAAAGCCTGCGCTGTTCCTGGGGAAAATTTTTTGTTAGCAAGCTAGTTAGCTCTGTCTCACTACAGTTTGTGCTGCTCTTGTATTACCATTACATTTACAAAAACTAATCACCCATCCATCTCTGAAAACCCAGAAGGTTGTTTAACAAAATGTCTCGATGATCTGAGACTCTTCTAACAACCTGGATTAGAAAAAAATATTCCATCTGCAAAAAAGGTTGTTGACCTGTTTCTGAAGTTGTGACTATATTTCCTTATCCATCTCATTAGAAATGACATATGCCTTTACGCAGAACACAAACAAAGTATTACTGTCACTGTGTCTGCGACATTTTGCTGTTTAAATGCAGATGTGACCGGGCTTCATTCTCAACAGAGATCAAAGCTAAGTGTGGTCAGCGGCAAAATTATTTGCCTAAGTGCAGTTACTCTTCAATTTCCAAAATAAAATTATTTTTTCTCATGGCACAGGGGACTACATTTCTATTCAGGGAACAGTATTAACTTTCTCTTCAAACTGAATACCAGAGAGCCAAGTCTTTATTCTGTGATGCCATACTGATATTTAAATTTTAATTCCCTCTATTGGGAACAACAAACAAGCATCTGATTTTGCGGACAATGTTCAGAATCAGAATCAGAAATGTTTAATGTATATTTAATTTGACAGCGGAACCACGACTATCCAAACTACAAAACAGCTCCACATCATTATGTGTAGTACTTCATATTGTCTTTGTAGCTTAAACTCAAAGGGTCAGTTTATCCACATTACAATAATATATATCCTGCTACTTCCAGTGGTATCTAGCCATGCAACAGCAAAATTTCCTTTGTGATACTTTGGAGAAATACTCACAGTTTATTGTACTTATTATTCTGGTGATAAAAAAAACTGGGCTTCTGCTTTCAATTTAGAATTTATTTCCCCATCACTACCATCATACCTTGTACTAAGTTTCCTTGACAGAATAATTATGTGGCTCTCTGTTGTTGAGGTTCTTTGCAGTTATCTGTCGGTCTGTGTGCAGATTTTGTATTAGCGGTGGGAAAGAGAGATAGAGACAAGGAGGAGTGACATCTGGTGGTGAGCTTTGATAAGGTTGTTGTATATATGATGCATAGAATAGTTGTTGTGTTTGTTTTTGTATTGTGTGTGTGTGTAGCCCCCTGCTGCAGAAGATTTCTCTCACCTTCCTCCGGAGCAGAGGAAGAAGAGGCTGCAGGGGAAGATTGATGATATCACTAAAGATCTGCAGAAGGCGCAGGACCAAAGGTGACGACAGCAGCACAGGCATCTCTAAGGCCTGAAGACACAGACTTACTATTTTTTGTCATTTTACTATCAGAAAAATGCAGCTGAGTATTAATTTTAATTCATGGTATTTAGTGTGATCATTTGAAGTTGTTTGGGGGCAGCATAAATTGGACCTAATGTGGTGGTAACACCTAATGTGACCTGAATAGCCCTAATTTAAAAAAAAAAAATCCTTATTTGTGGATATGTTTTGGATCTGATGGGAACCATTTTAACCCAAAACGACACAATACAACAATATAAGTTATCACGTTATAACATGAAACATTTAAGGTTATAAATAGTATATAAAAAATAAAGTTTACTGTAATAATGTGTGTTGTAAAAACGTGAAAACATATTTTTACAACCTTTAACTTCTTCACATTATACTGATCTGTTGTTGCAACATCAAGCCTTTAGATTTACTTTAAAGCCATCATCAGGAGGAGGCAGAAGTGCCAACCTCTTGAAACAGCAACAATACCGGTGTCCCTTTTGGAGCAACTCTACTTTTAAATATCAGTGCATTCCCTAGTTAATTAGTTCAGCTTGAATTAATTGGAAATAAAAAAGAAAAAACTGCAGAGATGAAAAACACTCTTAAAAGCCCCTGAAGTATTTCTCTACAAGGCTGAATATCCATGACTAAATTAGCAGCAACCAAAGTTCAGGTTTGGGAAAATAAATCCTCTAATTACTGTTTATTAAGAGTTTAACATTGAGCTAATCTGCTTTGTCTGGTCCGTGTTGCTGTGGTCTGATCAGATTTGATTAACAGCGGTCTTGTGACATAAGTAACAATCCTAACTAACTGTAATAAACATCTGTGGTAAAAGAGCAGAGATAAAAACACAGATACAAACAACGCTCATGTGAAATGACCAAAGCAGTTTCAACTTTGGCAGATAATAGGACTCTGATATACATTGTGCCTTTAATTTGTTGTATTATCAAATAAATTCACTAAATCAAGTCTGTCACAGTTCTCAGGTGACAGTCATGTCCAAATGTTAGTTGGCCTCAGATTTGAGATCCGTATGACCAAAGTTGTCCACATACTTCAGGTCTGAGGCTTCATGGTTTGAACTTAGGCTCTTCGTTTCAATTAAGGGACATTTTAATGCTGCAGCATACAGGGATATTTTGGACAATAGTGTGCTCCTAATTTGGTGGCAACAGTTACATGTTTCCTGTTTCAGAATGACCATACCCCTGTGCACAAAGCCAGGTCCATAAGGAAATGTTTTCCCATTTTGGTGTGGAAGAATTTGACTGAAGCCCCAGCTTCAACCCACCACCTTTGGGATAAATTGTAACTACGAGCCAGGCTTTTTCACACCTCAATAGTGCGTGACCTCACTAATGTCATAAACAGAAGTATGGCATTTATTCCAACGTCTACCCATCCCTCCTGTTCTTATCAGCAGTGCTGCACAAGAGAGAAACTTCCTCAATGAGTGCTCGCAATTCCAAAACAATAACCCTTTCCTCCCTCCGTCTGACCTCAGTGACGCACTGGAGAAGATGAAGGGTGTGTATGAGCAGACTCCACAGATGGGAGACCCCTCCAGTCTGGAGCCGCAGATCACAGAAACTGCCCAGAACATAGGCCGTCTGAGGGGAGAGCTCGCCAAATATGAGGTTATCACACACACGTACACATGCTGATATCGTGTGCATGACAGATCACATTACAGTGGTGTACATTTGTGCAAGTCTTGACATCTATTGCTGGTTCGTCACAGACATGGCTGGCAGAAGCCGTGGGAGGAGAGGAATCTTCCAACACCATCAACAACAATACTCAACATGGGTAAGACCTGTATTTAAAGGAGTAGGTTGACATTTTGTGAAATACACTTATTCGCTTACTTTTAAAGGACCAGTGTGTGTAACATTTAGGAGGCTCTACTACACAAAAAATAATGGTCAGTAATGTTGATAAAACAGAAATAAAACATAAAATAATAATAATGATATGATGATGATAATTAAAGTAAGTATTCAAATTAAAACTAAAAATGCGAGTTCTGCCTGGAAACATTTAGTTGTACGTCGTTTGCAACATGTGCTGAGGTTAGCGTGTGCTAATGAAACACTGGAGCTGGAAGACCCACCTGCGTCCTGTAAATCGGTTGTTTGGGAATAATTACTAGCTACAAGAGCAACGCAGAGAGTTCTAGGTGAGACCAGGAGGGTGTGTCAGTGTTGCTCCACTGTTGTATATGAATGGAAACATGTCGAACATACTAATGCACATTCACACATGTTAATAGACTTCCTTATGCATTTGTTGATTTTTTTCTCCGCTGTACCAAACCGTGACCCGTAAACCGGGGTCTGTGTATAGTTACACTTCCACACAGTGGTATCAAGTATTGGCAAGAAAGCAAATAAAGGTATTTCCCAAAATGCTGTCCTATTTCTATAAATGTGAACATGTGTAGCAGAATACATTGAGGAAATTACATATATTGATTGTTTTGTTTTCTTGGATGTGTGTTTTTTCAGGATTGTAGCAGCTGACCAGTCTCAGAACATCTACACAGATTTCGAAGACGAGTTCGACGACATAGAAACTCCTGTTGGCCAGTGCACGGCTCTGTACACCTTTGAAGGTATGCTGTAATATTCACACTCCACTTGTTCATAAATAGATCCCATTTTAGCCTTTTTTTATATGTCTTACTCGTGTGTTTGTGTGCAGGCAACAGCGAGGGCACCATTTCCATTACGGAGGGAGAGCTGTTGAGTATAATGGAAGAGGATAAAGGAGATGGATGGATGAGAGTCCTTAGAGCCAGTGGAGAAGAGGGCTATATACCTTCATCATA